TTTCTTCAGGATTTAGATTTTGTTATCTACTCTGTCAATGCTGAACTAGCCATTTTCCATCCTCTAAGATTTTGTCACCCCTCTCATTTATTTTCCTGTTCTAATTTGTCCTTTTAAATTTACTTACTATCATTTTAAGTGGTTTCAGAAGGGAGTGGAGAAAAATAGATATGTTCAATACTCCATGCTTAGCCAAAAGTCCTCCTTGCTTATTTGTATGTGTTTTAGTTTAGCATTAATATTTATCTTTAGGCTGCAACAAATATTTATTCCAGTGGCTTGCCCATTGGTCATTGTTTTTATTCTTATCAAATTTTCTAGTCTCAATAAAAACAGAAACATTGCTACTGGAAAAGGTAATGGCTTGCATCTCTAGAATATACACATCTTAGTTATAGTCATCATCATCATCAATACTTATTGAGTTCTAGCTGTGTTCTAGGCAGTGAGCTGAAAACTTTTAACTTTTATCATTTAATATCCACAATTGCACTTGGGTAAGTACTATTACAACCCCTATTTTACAGGATGGAAAAATCAAGCTTGAGAAAGATTGAGACACTTGCATAAAATCATAAACATAGCAAATAGAAGAAAAAGATTTGAACGTCCATGGTTGGTCTGAAGACAGGTTCTGTAGGTGTGAGGGAGAAGAAGTTCTGATGAAAGAAGGCTTGTAAACCACCCAATCAAAAGTCATTGGCTATTTTGTAGCCATAATGAGAGTGACCAGTTGGTTCAGTTGTGCAAATGATTTCATCATGATGTCATGAAAGACTGAGGGCTGGCATTGACTCCACTACAGTCTTCTGAGTCAGGTAGCAAATTCCAGCTGCAAAAATCACCCTAAATTTGCCAAGACTCTTGCAACTTGCCTTGATCCTAACTTCTTCCAGATCCAGGAGGGCAGAGACCTTGCTGATCTTATTTAACACCTTAGAGATAAAGGAATGTACCAATGCCTGGGACAGAGACTAACACATAATAAGTGTTCAATAAATGTTTGTTTAATGAACAGACATTCTTTCTTTAGGGTTGAGGATTGTATTAGGAAATTATGGGGTTCAGATGGAATAAACAGAGATAACCAGGGAGGGTGGAAATATGATGAATGAAGTCTGAAAGCCAACCTGAGCTCTAGTTACCAAGCAGTGTGCCTGCATGGAGGAAGGGTGCCTTATTTAAACTCACACTAAGGTAAAATATGGGCTAGCAACAACAGTCCAGTCTGGGGGGATATCTTGAGATATATGTCCCCCAAATTGAGTACAGGTTAAGTGCACTTTCAAGAAATAGACTTTCACTATATAGAAGAACAAAGACTTTTGCATCCTCTGCCACTGTCTATGCTTGACCCACGAACATTTTGATACAAGATGTGTTGTTCTGGAATTCACCTGTGGTGTGCTGCTCATAATCCCCAGGGTGCCCCTGGATCCACATGGGGTAGCGGAGAGAACATAGACACCCACATGGGGTAGCGGAGAGAACATAGACACCCACAGCTAGAAGAACACTCTTCTCAAATGTATACTTTTAAAGTAGTTTTATTCTCCAATGCTAGTCAACTATGTGATTTTACAGAAGCCTTCTGAGGCTTGGTTTAATAAATAAACATATTGTTTTGAGGTTACTGGCTCTTTTTAGCAGTCTGGGAACTAGTTATTTTGAGTCTTGCCTGCATTTTCCACACATTCATGTTTACATCAATTAGCATTGTCTTACAGTGTTTCTTAATTGGGGTGCTATTGGTGTCTGGGATTGCCAATTCTTCACTGGGGACAGTCCCTAGCAATGTGGGACATTAGTACTTTGGGTCTTTCCACCAAATGCTAGTAGTGCCCTAGATCATTGAGACCACCACAGATGCTCTCCCACATTTGCAAATGATTCCATGGGGAACGGAGCAAACCCTAGTTCAGATCCCCAGGCAAATCATTGCTGTGCCTGAAATTATCATGAATTACAGATAAATGAGATTTGAAGAGAGCCAGGTGTGAACATTACAAGACACCCGTGGGGAAGCACACAGGGGCAGAATTGGTTGGCCACCTTCCTCCTGCACACCCTTCCTCCTCCTCTCTGTCATTTGGAGTTTGGCCTCTTCGTGGTGAAACTTATCAAGCCCAGATCTGCACACTATATCAATGGGAAACCACTTCCAGTACCTTAGAGAGAGTAAAATAGGGAGGGCATAGGAGGCACTTTTTAGAATATGGGTTTCAATAGTTTGATGGTCTGTGTGTTTTTGTATGTGACAAATGATGTCTCTATGTTCCAAATGTATCCATTTGTCTGACAATTATTGCCAGTACCTAGGACAATGCTGAGGGCTTGATAGGCTTTATTTCATCCTTATAACAGTTTTGCTCAAGTTTAAACACCTTTCACATTCCCATTTTATAGATGAAGAAACAAAGGCTTTAAGAAGGTATGAAACTTGCTCATAGTCAACTTTCTGTATTTAGTGTCTATCTTCTGGCAATAGAATGGTCTCTTGCTGTAAGACTATTGAAAAAGGTTTGGGTGAGGGAATTGGGACGAAGAGATTAGAGAAACAGGTTTCTATTCAAAGCATGTACAAGCCTTATCACTCAGGGTACAACGACTGGCATCGTTAGTATCCAACCTGTCACTACCAGCTGGAGTGTTAGCTCATCTCAGACCAATGAGGGAAAAAGCCTTTGCAGGAGGGAATTGGGACGAAGAGATTAGAGAAACAGGTTTCTATTCAAAGCATGTACAAGCCTTATCCCTCAGGGTACAACGAGTGGCATCCTTAGTATCCAACCTGTCACTACCAGCTGGAGTGTTAGCTCATCTCAGACCAATGAGGGAAAACGCCTTTGCAGGGCTCATCTCAGACCAATGAGGGAAAAAGCCTTTGCAGGAAGGTTTCTAAGTGGCAATGGGAAAGAGATGAATTGGCTGCTCCATTAATAAACCAAGACCGAGTGTGGGCACCAGTACCAGCCAGAGAGTCTGCTGCTGCCTGGAGATTTGACTGTGGCATCGTTTCCGGCCTCTGCAAAACACGCAAGACCGGATCTCTAGGGAGAGGAAGGAAGGCAGGAAATTGGCTGATTGGTCCTAAGGAACCTGATGCTGACTTCCACTGCTCCAGGATGGGAAAAAGAGCAGCAGGAATAAAATAAACATGATGGTCCATTAACACCATTCATGCACGCATTCATTTCATAATATTTATTAAGCATCTACCATGTGCCAGATTCCCTTCCAGGTGCTGATGATACAGCAACAAACAAACCTACGTAAAGCTAATATTCTAATGTTGGGACACAGACAGTAAACATATTAGTAAGTAAAATAATATATCAAATGCAGACAAAAGCTTTGGAGAAAAAGCAGCAGAGGAGGGAGAATATAGCCTGTGGCAGGTTTTGATTTTAAACAGCGATCAGAGAAGGCCTCATGAAGTGACATTTGAGTAATGCTCACAACGACCCCAAGAAATATGGCTATGGGTATTCCAGTTTTACAAAGACACTGAGGTTCAGAGAGAGGCAGTGACTTCGAAGATCCTAGCTAGTAAGTGGTAGAACTGGGATTTGAACCCAAGCAATTGGAACTTTACAGGCTGCAGGCTTGAATGTTGGTGCAGACAGCTTACAAACCGGGTTTGGGAAAGGGCAAGTTGCGGGTGCAAATGGAGTCTCTGTGGGTACCCACGAAGCGAATATGGTGCCACCCACGGACAAGTGTGGGCGGACTTGGTGGGGGAGGTGGGGTGGCTCGCGATATTCACCAAGCTGAATCAGGACTCTCCGTCTGTGGCCTGGGAGTTCCGTCGCCCAGAGGCAGCGTGGTGGGCCAGTGGGGGAGGGAGCGCAACTACAAGGGTTGTCCCGGGACAGTGCCGGTACGAGCCTCACCCCGCCGCCACCCCCGGGCCAGCTGCTCCAGTCAATAAGGCGAGGACCTCGTAGGCGCTCGTAGCCCTCCTGGTGGGGTTCGCCGGGGAATTCCTACGAGGGTTGGAGAAGGCTGCTTGGCTAAGCTCCAGAAGAGCGGACAGGAGGCGCGCGGCTTGGGAGGCGGGCGCGCAGAGCAGAGTCCCCAGTGCATTCCCGGGAGCGCGCCGGGCGCAGGACAAAGTGATGAAGGGGAGCCTGGCAGCCCTTGGGGAGGCCCCTGGGGTCAGTGCGCAGCAAATGGGGGAGGAAACACGACATACTGGGGTAGAAAGAGGCGAACTCGCACTTGGCAGGTGAGAGGGGCGCAGGGGGCGCCCAGGAAAGGCCTGGAGATATAGCTGGTGTGAGTCATCCCCAGGCTCGCCAGAAAGGGGGTGCCAGAGAGAGGCAAGCACGGAGAGGGAACTGGACGTAGGAAGGAGCGAGAAGGAACTATTGCCACGGAGAGAACGTGCCATTACAAAGCGCAGGATCAAGGGTCAGGAAGGGGGCGTAGAGAATCTCCTGGAGACCCTCGGAGAGTGGCCGAAGCGCCGTTCTGGGGGCGGCAAAGAGAGAAAGGAGCATATGGTGAGACACACAGTCCTGGACGCTGGGGAGCGGGAGCAACCAGCTCCGCAGGGAAGGGGACATAAAGCCTGCGCGCTCAGAGAATGGGGCGTACGGTGCCTGCTAGTGTGGCGCGCATTGGGGCCCTAGAAGAGTGGGTGGAGACGACTCCGGTGAGTGCCTAGGAACGCCGGAGCACGCAGGGAGAAGCAGCAAAGTCCACGGAAGAACTTCTCCACTTGGAAAGAGAGCGCACCGTGGGCGCTGCAAAGAAGAGGAAAGCTCGCCTAGGCAAGGCTTGGTCAGGGCCCTGAGCAGCACAAGGAGCGCGGAGGAGGTGCTGCCGATGGTTGTGGGGAGAGCTCCGGGAGCCTGAGAAAGATGCGAAGGACAAAAAACTCCCAGCGCGCGGGGCCGAGAGGAAGGGAGCCACAGAGCGCGCGCTGGGTCCCCAGGAGGGGCGCAACTCCGCCCGGGTCTCTCCTGCCAGGCTGCCTCTGGCCCTAACTCACTCACCATGATGGAGAAGACCAAAGCCACGATGTTGATGGGGTACGCGGGGCAAAAACACGAGACGATGGTGAGCCACAGGTAGTTCTTGGGTATGGGTACGTCCTCCTCGGTCTTGTCATCCTCGGTGTTGGCTTCGGGACTGCTGTCCAAAGCCCTCTTGAAGTCGGGGCTGGGGTCGTACTCAGACATGGGCGAGGCCGGCGGCGCAGGGAGGGCAGACGAGAGCGCACGGTCCGCGCGGTCTGGGGCTCTGGCCGCCGGCTCGTGGCGCGGCTCTGAAAAGCCAGCGGCGCGGGGCTCCAGGGAGACGTGACCTCACCGCTCCTGCGTCCTCCCCCTGCACCCGCCTGTGCTCGGGGACCCGTGCCAAGAGCCTCCCCGCAAGGACGGAGGGAGGGAGGGGGGAGGCGGGGCGGAGAGGGCGCCAGTCAACCTGAGAAGCGGGAAAGGCAGACGAAGACACCGCGCCCCCGGACCCACACACCAGGAGACCATCGAACAGACTCGCAGAGAAGTCCGGGATAAAAAGAGGCTCAGGGAAGGGGGAAGCGAAGGCCCTTTCAGTCCTAAACTGGTCAGCTCCCGGGCTGGAGCTGACCCGCTCATTTTTTAAAGCCACTGAATTTTAATACATTTAGACTGGACAGGATGCACCCCATCCAGTTGGCATCAGACTCGCTACTTCCTCTTGACTTAACATCTTAACTTTCACTGTCTGGCTCCTGAGGCATTTAATGTGCCTCGTCGGCCTCAGCCCCTTCTTCTACTCGGAACTTGATATTCTGAAACATAGTCAGTTACACAGTATTTTGAACCTGAGATCCATTATTGCAAATATTTCACCAAAAATCCAGATATTCTGAGCTGGCAGGACCACAAAGAAATGAAAGTAACTTATCACGCACAGTCTCAGAACAGTCGCTCACATCATCATACTCGAAAGTATTCATCATCTGCTTGGCATTCTCGGAACATGAACTGATCGTCTGGGAAGTTCTCACTTATCGCATGGGGTCGTTGTTATTTGGCTGTCTGTCTCTCTCATTGGACTGCAGACTCCCTTAGAGAGGGGACTGTCTTGCTCATCTTTGTGTCAGCACCTGGCACAGTGCCTGGTACAAGGTATGTGTTTATAATAACTTGCTGGGTGGACATGTAAAGACGAAATAGGACCTTCTCCACCATGCCCTCCCATCCTCCATCACCCCCGACCTCCATTTTGGTTGGTTAAATCAAGAGGGAATAAACCAAAAGATTAGATCCGTCTACTGAGTTCTCCACCACGTCTTTGCATTGGCTGTTCCCTCTGCCTGGATCCTGTTCCCCCAGGCTGTCTCATGGCTTCTCCTCAGCTGTCAGCTCCAGAGTCACTTTCTCAAAGACAGGTCTTCTCTTTGGGTTTGTCTAGCATAGGTCCCCATAATAGTTCTATATTTTACTGGCTCGTTTTTGTGTGGGTGTGGCATGTATCACAATTACAATTTATTAGTTTACTTGTTCACTGTCTGTGCTTTCTTTAGACTGTAAGCTGTCTAACCTGTTCAGAGCTGTATCTCCAGCACTTAGAATTGTCCTGGCACATAGTAGGAATGCAAGAAATATTTCTTGATGTGAATAGTCGAGAATTACCTGGGAGGATTGAAAAAATGATTTCCAGGTTTTGACTAAGACCTACTTGAATTAGGATTTCCCAGGGTGGCTCCTCAGAAATCTATATTTTAATGCCTGAGAAATTTGCATTTTTTAGAGCACTCCCTGTTGATTCCGATGCAACTAAATAATTTCTCAAATCCCAATTCTGTCTCTAGTTCCTAGGATGCAGTTCTGGATCTTTCGTTTGGAGATCGCTTCAGCCGTCACACTCAACTTGTCAAAGGTGAACTCATTGTTTTCCCCAAGAATCTGCTTCTTAAGGCTCAGTCCTTAGCTAATGAGCCTTGCCCACTTCTCCAATCTCTTCTTTTGCCAATCTTCTCCTTTCTTACTGCACTCCAGTTACACAGGCATTTTTTCCCCATTCTCAAACACACCTAGCCTTTCCCCACCTGAGGGTCTCTGCACCTGCTCTTTCTTTCTCCTAAATGCTTCCCCATCTCTCTACCTTTTAGCTTTTTCTCATCTTTCACTCCCCTCATATATTACCTCCTGAGAGAGGTCTTTCCTGGACAGCATATCTAAAGAAGACTCTGTCTTTTTATTCTCCATCCCATTACCCTGTTCTCCTATGTCACAGTTATCTGAAATAGTCTTGTTTATTTATTTGTTTACTTATTTACTGTCTGTCTCTCCAACTAGAAAGGAAGTTCCACAAGGGCAGAGATTTTTGTTCCTCCCTGTTTGGTTAGCTGTGGTATCTCCTGCACCTAGAACAGTGCCTGGCCCTTAGTAGGCGCTCAATAGGTAATTTGTTGAATGAATAAACTGTGCATGTGGTCACCCAAGTTAGGTACTGGGGGGCACCATTCTTTCCTTCCCTTCATCTTTTACATGAACTAGTCATCAAACCATGATTCCATATTAAATGTGACTCTTTACTCCGTCTTCTTTTTCCCATTCTCATGGCCAGTTTTCCTATTCCAGGTCTTATTGACAGTGAAAAGTCTCAATGGGTGCTTTCTGAGCCATATTTTTCATCTGAGCCTGGTTAATTTAGTTGGTGTGACTAAGCCCAAGGTTTGGGTACCAAATGGAATTTTGCTTTTCAAGGTCATGAACTGTATTCTCCATTGTCACTCACTAGCATCATCCAGGGAAATACAAAAGAAAGGGTTGTTGATTCAGTATAAACTATTTCCTCTGCCAGGAAAACAAACTTTCAACACTAGTCCAACACTCCAGAATCACCAAACATATAACGAGTACCTACTGTGTGCACTCAGTGCATTCCCTACATGTATCATCTCATTTAATTCCTCCAGCAATTTTTGTAAGGAAGGTGGTGAGGTTTACTTTTTACAAATAAGGAAACCTAGGATCAGATAGGTAAGAAGACTTGTGTAAGGTCTTATAGCTAAGTAGAGGTGCCAGAATTTGAACTAGCTCTAAGATACTTTTTCAGCTAGCAGGTCCAAGCAGGAGAATTAAATGGACATGTCTGAAGTTTGCTGGAGTTTTTATATTCTGCTCAATGAAGATGGATTAATAGCTTATTGGCTGGTCTAAAATGTAGCAGTGAAATTGCAATCACTTGAAACATTTAAAATGAAATTGAAAGTGCCCACACCAGAAAGTGTAATGTGTATGGTGCTGATTCTTGAGGGATGCATTAGACGGCTCAGTAGGGGTTTCCAGCTCTAATTTCCTGAGCTTCACTAATTTTCTCTTGAGAGGTCAGTCTATTGATCTTGGATGAACTCTGCTGGCTGATTGCTTAATAATGTGGCAATACCTTCCCTCTTTAAAATGAGACAGGAGAAGGCAACTTCCTAATAGCCAGTTTAGGAGAGGGAAAGGGCTAACTGCAGCTTTCTGGATCCCAGTCTAGCAACTTGCCTTTTTGATCTTTGTAATAAGTTTTATGTCCAAATGTGAAAGTAATACATGTTCATTCTTGAAAAGTGGGGAAAATGAAGAAAAGCTTAAAAAATGAGGTATCACTCAATGGTAACCACCACAAACACAAGGAGCTATTTCCGTCTAGTGCTCTCTCCACATGGGTATACTTTTCTTCATTAAAAAGGGACTGTACATAGTTTTGTTTCCTTTTTTTCTCACTCAGTGTTACATGGCAATTAACATTCTTTGCAAATATTTTTATGGTCTGCAAAATTTCCCGTAATTAGATGCATTATTGTTTATGTTACTATATCCTGATCACTAGGTCTTTAGGTTATTTTTAATTTTTTTTGTTGTTATTGTGAAAAATGCCATGATGAACAGTACCCAAGTGTCTGCACTTATGATTATTTCTCTGTGCCTTGTGATCTTACAGGGTAATATCAGTCTTTTTAAAAATTTTTTATTTTTATTTTATATCAGTCTTTAAAAGGGCAGAGACAACTCAAAGTGGCTCGTTGAGAAGTTGTATTATAAGATATATACAAAAGGTGAGGTTAAAATTTAGGCCAATGAAACTATCACAGATTCAATGCATTACAGAGATGAGATGCTTCAATTGAGGTAAAATGAGATAGATTCCAACCCAAATCTGTAATATTCAATGGCATGATGTTGAATCTATGAGTATGTTCAGGAGATCTATGCTTTTCAACCTTAACTATGTCTAGGATTCCAAAATAAAAGGAGGGAGGGAGGGAGGGAGGGAGGGAGAGAGAGAGAGAGAGAGAGAGAGAGAGAGAGAGAGAGAGAGAGAGAGAGAGAGAGAGAGAGTTTGTTTTGTGTGTTTGTTTGTTTGTGTGT